AGGAATGCAGGGCCATCTGGTGCCCCATCCAGCTAGGACTCTGTTGAACACGTCATTTCAGTCAGTCAGTGGACACACGGGAACACCCAGGCCGGGTGTGTAGGGAGCACGGCCGAGTGGAGCCTGCCTCCTGCCTGTGCTGCCGCTGGATTTCCAGACCTGGCGCCTCGACTCGTTCCGCCTCACGATTCAAGGGATGAAAACGAGTGCGTTAGGCCTGGCTGCCTGCTGGTGCAGCACGTTTCCTGGGCTCCTGGCACCGAGAGGACACTTCCCAGCCCATCCAGGACCTCTCTGTCCAAACCCCAGAGGCCCCGGCTGAGGACTTAAGTTGACAAAGTGGCAAGACCTTGTACTGTCAGGAGGTGGTGTCTGCTGATGGAGGAGTCTGGGTTGTGCCATTGCTTGTATTAGTTGAAGGATTAGTTTCAGATAACATATCAACTTGAGCAGAAAGTCACGGGGAGGAACTTACTGAGGCTGCAGTGGGACAAGAGGAGGAACGTGACCTAGAATTTGGATCTAGACACCACCCCCAGATTCCCTTCCTATCTCTGCTTCTTCCTCCATGTGACCTCCTCATCCTCACTCTCAGTACTCAGAGAGACCAGGCCAGACCCTCTGCTGTCTGCATTCCCAAGTCCACATGCTGGGGATTGAGGATCTGATTGGGCCGGGAGAGGAGGATGGGCCCTGGTCCCCATCGACTGTGGTCAGGGTTGTTAGCCGCCGGGGGGTGGGAGGTGGGTCTCAGATGCGAGCTGGGCAAGCCCCCTCACGTAGGTCAGTGGAGAGGTGAGGCACCAGCCACCCAGGCGCGGTTATCCCCTGTGTGCTGTACCTGTCCCCGTCCTTCCCGCAGGCCCTCAGCATCCTCATGCTCCCTCACAACATCCCGGCCAGCCTGAGCCTGCTCACCAGCATGGTGGACGAAATGTGGCATTACGCCGGGGACCAGTCCACTGACGTGAGTGCTTCTGCAGGCCCTCGGGGCCCCGGGAAAAGCTTGGGTTGAGCATTTCTTCAACAAGTTTGTGGAATTTCTTTGATCACAAATCTCTTCAGGGGCCTGCAGCGCCATGCCCATCCTGGTGAGGAGAGGCTGAGGTGTGAGGGAGGGCCCTCTACAGGCCACAGTGGGATCTAGATCATCCCATGACAGGAACCAATACTCCAGTCGCAAACCAGTGGTGCTTCCTCCCAACCTGCAGTGGTGACAAAAGACGTCAGAGGGCCTTGTGATTGGGCTGCTACTTTATAATGCCCCCCGCCCCCATCTCCTAAAATTTATATTCTGCAGCAAAATTTCTCAGTGTGACTTTCATGAGACTGATTTTTTTTTTAATGCCATGGAGACACCATTGCTTTAAAAGGAAACTCCCACCCCCAGCCCATCTTGGCCTGCTTTGCTAAGAAATCAATAAGCCTTTAAACAGGCACCAGGAAAGAATGTGACTTGTGAATGCTATTATATTTCTGTAAGGAAGTTTTTAAAATGTATACCTTTATAAAAAGAAATTAATATCCAGGCTGGGGAGGCAAAGAGATGCCCGCCCCCGGCTCTAACATAGTGCTTTAATAAACTCCCCCCTGCGGGAATATACCAGCAACAGAGATGGCAGCGAAATGAAATTAGAAAGCAAAGAAATTAAAGGAATAAAGCACGGAGCAGCCGAGCCAGTGCTCTGAAGAGCAGTTTCCCAGGACAGTTGGCGTCGCTAAAGGACTTGCCTCTCAGCGTTTCCTCGCTGTTCCCATCGGTCCGTGATGCCCAGCCGTCACTTGCCGTGGAACACACTACAGTTTGCTCATAACTGGCTGACCACAGAGCCTCCCCGCACTTAGATGTCCTAAGACAGTCTTTTTGCCAGCAGTTCCAAAAGGCCCAGATGTAGCAAAGTCACCTGCATGCTTAGTAAACTCCAGCCTCCTGGCACTCCAGATCCACTGACTGAATGCTAAGAGGCTGGGCCCGGGGGCTTGCTTTTTTTAAAACATTTTTTTAAAATCCTCATCTGAGGATATGTGTTTATTGATTTTTAGAGAGAGAGAGAGAGAGGGTGGGAGAGAAAGACATGGATGTGAGAAAGAAACATGGATCGGTTGCCTCCTGTACGCTCCCCAACCCAGGTACCGAACCCACAGCCTAGGTATGCGCCCTGACAGGGAATTGAACCCACAACCTTTTAGTGCATGGGACGACGCTCCAACCAACCGAGCCACCCGGCCAGGCTGGGAGCTTGCGTTTTTAATTTCCCAGGTCATTCTGATGTGCAGCCACGTGGTGGGACAATAGTGTTGTCCAGAGAGCCGGATGTATCTGTGCGGGAAAGAAGAAGTCAGGAGGAAGGCCATGCGTGCCTGTGGCTTTGGGCAGAAGCCGCCCCGATTGCCCCGCCCGCAGCAGTCGCGGTGACCCGCCGGCCTGGTGGTTTTCTTTGCAGTTCAACTGGTACACCCGCCGGGCTGTGCTGGCTGCTATCTACAACACAACAGAGCTGGTGATGACGCAGGACTCCTCCCCCGACTTCGAGGACACTTGGCGCTTCTTGGAAAACCGGATTAACGACGCGATGAACATGGGCCACACTGCCAATCAGGTAGTGGGGCTAGCCATTCGGGAAGCCTCCTCTCCAGGCACCCCCTCCTCCTCGGGTCACAGCTGGGCGCTGTCTTTCCCTTGCTCCCCTGTGGCCTCAGCTGACAGTCCTGGGGGCCTTCCCCGGGAGCTGGGCTGGTTCCTCCTAGCAGCCTCTCCAAGAGCCACACTTGGCCCATTTGCGGCTGTGTTGTCTGTAGGTTCTCCCTCCAGTACACAGCCCTCTTGACTCCACCTGTTGGGACCAGTAGGCCTGCTGGTTTGTCCTACCTGTCTCACCTTGGCTTGTGGTGGGGGCTAAGAGAACCTGACTCTGACTCCTTCTAGGTGAAGTCCACTGGAGAGGCACTGGTGCAAGGACTCATGGGTGCAGCAGTGACGGTGGGTACTTCCCTGCTCATCCCTGCCCTCCCCCATCCCACTCTGGCCTGTGCTGCTTAATGTATCCCTGACCCCAAATAGTTTTGTAGCCTTAAACTGGAAAGCTTAAGTAATGAGACTGACAGCGGTGCAGTCCAACTCTCTTGATTCCAAATACAGTGGGGCCTTGACTGACGAGTGTCCCGACGAACGAGTTTTTCGAGATACGAGCCGTCTCTCGGCCGATTTTTTGCTTTGAGTTGCGAGCTAAAATTCGGGTTACGAGCCAGCTTCAGATACCCCACCGCTAGTTGGCGCAGCGAACGTCACAGTGAATGCCACAACATCAGCCCAGCATCACGTGTCTCACTCGTTCACTTTTTGATTTGACATACGAGTAATTTGAGTTACGAGCTCCGTCACGGAACGAATTAAACTCATAAGTCAAGGCCCCACTGTATCCCACCTCTGTTTTCTACTGGCTGACTCCCTGGACCCCAGGACATCAGATCACAGCCACGGGTGCTGCTTTGAAAATCCGGACCTCTCCCATTGAAGTCCTGGGGCAGGGCAAGGCCTTAGCACTCTCTCTGTTTCCACCCCTTTCTCAGCTCAAGAACCTGACAGGTCTGAACCAGCGCCGGTGAGCAAGAAGGGGTATAAGCTAGCGTGCCCAGAAGAAAACCTGCGGATATATTTAAGGGACATTGAACAGTATGAAGTGCCAGCACAGGACAGGACTCTGAGTCACCACCACAGCCACCTGGAAGCCACAGGGCGCTTGATGATACAGTTGTAGCCCGGGAGTGGGCCACTTCCTCAGTTCCTAGTACCAAGCCCGGCTTCCTGATGTCTTTCTGCAGTTGTGTGATTGACAACTGAGGCTCTCAGCCAGCGTTCAAGCCACAGAAACCAGCACGGCCTGTCTCACAGGCACCTTGGTCATATCTTAACCTTCCTAGAATGCTCTGGGACTCCCAGGTCAAAGTCAGGGTCTCAAGCTACCCCTGTGGCAGCTGATCCACAGCACAGCACAGGCACGTGCACCCAGAAGTGCCCCTTGCGGCCTTTTTCCTCTCCAGCAGCCTGAGATACTGCACCTGGGACCCCCTCAGAAAGCTGCCACATGAGACAGGTGCCTGCTGGACAGTGGTTCACAGCCCGGCCAGGGGTGTGATCTCAGGCCTGGTGTCGCATTACACCAGCGTGCGTGCAGGCTTATTAGTGAACTTAGACTCTGTAAAAATAATAATAAATATGTTTGAATCCATCTACTGTTGTGTAGTTAGTTTTCATCCAGACCATGGCAGGTATCCAAGAGCCCAGAGAGAGACAGCAGTGTGGGAAGGGTTTGAGGCTGAGTTCTGGGCCTGGTGCTGCCTAACAGTATGACAGCTCTGCATCTCTGGGCCCAGGCTTCCCATCAGTAAAACGGGAGTGACAGGGGCCTTTCCTCTCACCGTTAGCTCCTTTGCTGCGCTTGTCTATTGCTAACCATTTCAGGATCCAGTCTAGCTTTAATAATTTCCTTGGCCCCCACTGGCTGGGCTCCTTTTGCAAGTCTGGTTAACTCACGTTGGTCAGCTCAGGCTGCGGGCGGGAAGGGAAAGGGTATATACCTACCATTCAAGTATAGTTGGCTAAAGCACACTTGTTTTTCCATAAATGTACCAACTTCATTCTTTTAAAAGACATAGTATTCCTGTGTGTATATTTCACCAGGCGTCTCAATGGACAGTTACTTTTGTTTCTTTTTTGATGTTACAAACTGTGCTGCAGTGATCATCCCTGTAAATGTATCTTTGCTTAAAACTTAAAGCATTTCTGCAGGATGAATTCCTGGAAGCGTTATTGTTGAGTCAAGGGTGTATGCGTGCTTTGCCAAATCACCATCCTAGATTTGGCAAATCACCAACTGGTGCATTGCAACCAGGTGGTGGGATAGAAACCACGAGCCCGGAGCAGTCCCGGCCTCCGAGCAGTAGGTGGTGCTGTGGGCGCGTCTCCGAGGAAGCGGTGGGGGCCGCGCTGACCGACTTCCGGTACCTTCCTGTGACTTCCGGTGCGGGGGCGCGCTGCAGGGTTGACGCCGGCGGCCCGCCGGGCGGCGGAGCGCGATGCCGTATGCCAACCAGCCCACCGTGCGGATCACGGAGCTCACCGACGAGAATGTCAAGTTCATCATCGAGAATACGGACCTAGCGTAAGGCTGCTGCGGGAAGCCGCGGGGCCTCCGGAGCGCCGGGGGCCGAAGCCGGGGTGCGGGGTGGGAGGGGACGGGCCGAGTCTGCCGGTCCCGTGCGCGGTGCCATGGCTTTCACTTTGGGAACGGGGGGAGGGGCGGGGGGGGTTTCGAGGCTGCGGTGCCCTCACGCCGCTTGTTTTCGTCCCTCAGGGTGGCCAATTCTATCCGGAGGGTCTTCATCGCCGAGGTGCCCATAATAGGTAAGCGACCCCCGCTTCCCAGACTCACCCCCACCCTTCGGTCCCCCGACCACACGCCCTGGGGCTTCTGCCTGCAGCCCTGGTTTGGGGGAGGCGGGAGGGAGTGTCGCTGAGAAAGCAGCGATGCTGGAGGCCGGATCGGGCCCTGAGCCTCTGGCCACCTCCCGGGCCCCAGGGGCCGCTTACACTCGGGTCCACGCGCAGTTTGCTTGGTGAGGAGCGTGGGTGCAGGAGTCTGCGAACTGGGGTTCGAATACTGTGTTCACTTGCCGTGTCTGTGAGACGGGGCACGTTTTGAAACTGGGCGGTCCATTTCTCCGTAACGTTGGGACGCTATTAGTACCTGCCATGGCAGGGATGAAGGAAGGTCATCGCTATTCAGTGCCTGACGTTTGGGGAGTGTCCAGTGCTGCTAGATGCCTTTTTTGTTGTTGTTAGTCCTCACCCGAGGATATTTTTTCCACTGATTTTTAGGGAGAGTGGAAGGGAGGGAGAGAGAGAGAGAGAAACAGCGATTGGTTGCCTCCCGGCTGCAGCCCAACCAGGGTCAGGGATTGAAACTGCAACCCAGGTCCGTGCCCTTGACCCGGAATCGAACCTGAGACCCTCCAGTGCACAGGCCGGCGCACTAACCACAGAGCCACGCCGACCAGGGCCGCTAGGTGTCTTTTTCTGAATCTGTGTCTTCAGCTGCGTTTATGGAACATGTAAGTGCCAGGCGGCGGCTGGGCGCTGGGAATGCAGAGCTGGCTGCATAGTGCAGGGTTCGTGCCTTCACGGAGCCCACAGTGAAGGTGCAGGGGAAAGATGAGCACACAGGCAACATGGATGCAGGGTGGCCTTGGACCGGTACTGGGAGAAGCCGAGCTCCAGTGCTGTTGGCTTAGAGGAGGGAGGATCTCTTTTCGCTCTGGTTCCAGCCACAGTGCTCCAGGTATCTTGCAAATTTGCAGACATACTACCAATATTTTCTGAGCGTCAGCTTAGAGAGTTTAGGAAAAGGAAATGGAAGTCAGCTGCTGCGTCAGGTGTGCCTGCTCCTAAGGAAATAAGCGGGCCAAATGGGTAAATGGGAGGATGTCTCTGGGCCCCAGTTTCATCAGGAGTAAAATGAGGGAGTTGCACTGTATGGTGCAGCCCTGACGTTCCAAATCTAAATGCCACTTTCCCACAAATTCAGTTCCGCAAATAAGTGAGAACCTGCTATGTTCCAGGCTAGAGCTAGGAATTACAAAAGTTAAGTATCTGAAGACCCTGCCCTAAGGGATTTTCAGAGCTTGAGGTAGAGATAAGACACGCATAAATATACACAAGGCACAGTATGACAAGGGCCTTAAGAGAAATCTGGGCAGAATTTTTTAGGGAGGAGCTTATAGGGAGGGTGAACCACATCCAGTACGGCCAGGGGTGAACCTGAGGAGGGGCGGTGAAGGATTAAAGAAGACAGACAAGAAAATACAGTTGGGGCCAGGTAGGATCACTGTGCCTGGATGAGGAAACAGTGACACAGCCTGTAAGCCGAAGCTTTATTTTATAGTCAGATCACCCAAAGCAAAGCAAGGGGAGTGGTCAATATGTTTGCAGGAGTTTCAAATCTATTTCGTTCCTCAAGCCTTGTTTTGGCAGCACTTGCTGCACCTTCCACAGCCCATTAGCTACCTAGGAACAAGGGAGGACTATGAGGTCAAGTTTAATTGTGCCAGGAGGGCTCTGCCCTCCAAGCTGGGACTTGTATGTGGCTCTGCCACAGGTCAGTCCGAAGCTTGACCCTATAGCCGCTCCCTACAGGAGGGAGTGATCGTATCTGTATCATGGAGGCTCAGAGGATTTTAACCTTCACTGGAGAGGGCAAGGGCATGGCAGAGGGAGGTGCAGGTATACAGGGGCAGAGACAGGAAAGGTTGGCTTGTCCTTGTTTGACTTGGGTTGAGGGAAGGAAGCAGTAGGAAGCGTGGAACGAAGCAGGCAGCCCTTGGCTGTGTCTGGGCCTCCTCCGACCTCCATTTCCAGTTGTTTATACCTCTTATTTGACAGGTGGGCTCCAATGCCATTTGCTCTATGAATTTGTTTACATGCAGATGTGAATGAATGAATGAATGTGCTTAAGTCAATCAAATGTGTATGAGCATACAGTCCTTCCCCTCCTGCTAGCTCATTGCTGGTGGGGACTGGGTTTTATACTGAGTATGCCTTGCCCATTGAAGGAATTCTATCAACATTGGTTGATTGAGTAGTAATATCTATCTATATATATAAAAGCCTAAGTAACTGGTCGACCAGTCGCTTTGACAACACACTGACCACCAGGGGGCAGACGCTCAACACAGGAGCTGCCCCCTGGTGGTCAGTGCACTCCCACAGCCAACCTCCCACAGCTAGCCAACCTCTCTCGGTCCCCATTGCCCTGAGGGACCCCACCCATGCACGAATTCGTGCACCGAGCCCCTAGTAGTATTAATAAAGGGTAATCTGGTCATTATACCGTAAAATGAGATATGGGCTAGATGTCTGTGTTACCTCTGAGGCTTTCCTTAGGATTTAAGTACCCAAATAGTTTGTGTTCTTGGAGTTCATGTTGGCATGAGTAGCAGACATACGTGCTTCTCACAGGAATATTCAGCTCAAAGAAACGTGTTCCCACTCCTGTACCATTCACTAGGTCGTTGTTTTTCTCTGTGGTACAGGGACCCTGCATTAACCCCTGCTGAGCAGGGAAGGGGGGTATGGTGCGTGGCGTTTGGGTGGTTCTGGTTAAAATGCAGGTTCCTGGACCCTGTCCCAGAGCTGTGTGAAGCGGCCTGGCCCAGGCTCTGCTCCAGGTGCATGCCTCAGGTGATTCCTACATCTTGAGAACCGCGGCTGTGCTGGTAAGTCTTGAGGTGAATTTGGAGGCTAAGCTGCGTGTCTGCTTCCTTCACTTTTTAGCCATTGACTGGGTTCAGATTGACGCCAATTCCTCAGTCCTTCACGACGAGTTCATCGCTCACAGGCTTGGTGAGTGCCCTTTGGGAAGGTGAAAGGGTGGGGGCTGTGTCTGGTGTCAGAGAGGAAGCCTCCTCGCTGCCAGGGGACTTCTAGGTTCTCCTTTTGGCTTGGCTGCTTGGCCTTCTTCAGAGTGCTTTTCTGTGTCTTCCAGGGTTAATCCCCCTCACCAGCGATGACATTGTGGACAAGCTGCAGTACTCCCGGGTATGCTGGGGGATTGGGTGGCCAGGGAGGCGGGGCCTTCTGTTCTCAGAAGGATTTTCCTGACATCTTGCTTCTAGCTTTTAGAAAGACAATATGGAGATGTTGTCTAGAGCCCACGCCAGGCCTTGGTCCTTGGTTCTGATGGGCCTCAGGTTGATTAGACTCACAGGGCATCAGTCACGCAAGAGCAGGGATACACTAGAATGCCCATGTATACAAGCGGGGGCTGGTCCCTTTCAGTCTGATCTGTTCTGGCTCTGCTTTCCAGAGCATCTCTTCCCAGTGACGGGGGCCTAGGAGGTTAAAGGGAGTCAGCAGGAGGTTGGGGAGGATGGAGGACAGGAGAGGGAGTGAGACCTGTCCACAGAGCAGCACCCAGAGACCGGAGTGCTGGTGGCTGCCAGATTAGTGACTCACCCAGTAGGTGATGCTAGTAAACCTGGCTCCTTCCTCCAGGGAGAGAACGGGACAGGATAGGGTTACCTGCATCCCTCCACCAGGACTGCGTTAGGTAATAGCTTGAGAGTATTCCCTTTTGGTGGCTTTGGGCCCATCTGCTAATTCTCAAGGGCATGTCATTTCTGTGGTGGCTAATTTGATATGTCCTATGAATACAAATGTATATATGTATATAAAATTCTTTAAAAGAAATACTCAGGAAAAATGTGCAGCTAATATAACAGATACTATGCTCTCATTTTGTCACATTTTGCCATATTTGCTTCACATCTTCACATTTTTGTTTTTAAGAAATAAAGCATCAGATATTGCTGGGACAGGTGTGCAGCATGTCAGCTGAAGAGGCATCTGGCAATATCTCATATAAAGATAGGCACGCCCTATGGCCTAGCCATGCCTTCCATTAATATGTTAATATATTTTTATCGATTTCAGAGAGGAAGAGAGATTGAAGCGATCAGAATCATTGATCAGCTGCCTCCTGCATGCGCCCTACTGGGGATCAAGCCCACAACCCCGGGCACGTGCTCTGAGTGGGAATCGAACTATGACCTGGTTCATGGATCGATGCTCACCAACTGAGCCACACCGGCTGGGCCAGTGATGGCAAACCTTTTGAGCTCGGCGTGTCAGCATTTTGAAAAACCCTAACTTAACTCTGGTGCCGTGTCACATATAGAAATTTTTTGATATTTGCAACCATAGTAAAACAAAGACATATTTTTGATATTTACTTTATATATTTAAATGCCATTTAACAAAGAAAAATCAACCAAAAAAATGAGTTCGCGTGTCCTAGGTTCGCCATCACTGGGCTGGACTATTACATTTTCTCTAGTGGTACATTTACTGAAAGATGGAATGGTCCTTTTTTTTTTTTTTGCTTTTCTGAAAATCTGTAGAAAAGTTGAAGAAGCAGAATGATAAATTTCCATCTACTTTTGACCTTTGTTGCCAATTGTTAATATTTTGCTACATTTGCTTTATGTTACACATGTATGCGTATGTATGTGTGTGTATATATACGTGTATATATGTATGTAAAGTTTTTTTGTTTTAAGAAAAGGTCAGTAGCCTAGAATTTAAAGGTACTTCTTCCTAGTTCCCTTTATTTTAAATGACTCGAGCTAGTCCACCTAGTCCATGGCGGCCGAGCTAGAGGATCGCCGCTGTTCTCTGGGAAGGACACGCCCAGGGCCAGGCTTAGATGTGAACAGTGCGTGTCCCAGAGGCAGCCCGGCAGCTGACGGTGTGGAAGGAACGTCCGGCACACACGGTTGTCTCTAACCTGGGAAGTGCCTGCAGTGGAGACGGTTACCAGATTGACAGCTCCCAAGGGTCTGGAGACTGGTCAGCCCTTTTCTAGACGAAGAAACAGTAGGAACTGGGGATCGCAAGCAGGGAGCTCAGGATCCGCCCTCCCCACACTCAGCCTGCTCTCTCCCTGCCTCAGGACTGCACGTGCGAGGAGTTCTGCCCCGAGTGCTCGGTGGAGTTCACTCTCGACGTGCGGTGCAACGAAGACCAGACTCGTCACGTCACGTCTCGAGACCTCATCTCCAACAGCCCCCGGGTCATTCCCGTCAGTGTCTGAGGACAGCCCTGCCCAGGCCTTTTGCTCTTCTCCTTCTGCGCGGGCCGGACGGGGGGGATTCGCCGAAGGCACCGCCTTGCCCTGTGTTACCCCTGATGCCTGGACATGCGCATTCTGGGCTCCTGGGGTGGGCGGACATTGTTGGTGCTGTGTGCCCTCTGTCGCCCAGGCCCCTTTAAAAGGCCGTGGTATAGCCTTAGCTGGTTTGGTTCAGTGGATAGAGTGTCGGCCTGTGGACTGAAGGGTCCTGGGTTCGATTCCAGTCAAGGGCACATGCCCGGGTGCGATCCCCAGTAGGGGGCATGCAGGAGGCAGCCAATCAATGATTCTCTTCCTTCCTCTCAGATCAGTTTTAAAATAAATAAACAAAAGGGCACGGTACTGTTTTGACAGAGGACTGTCACAAAGCCGTGAAGCAGGGGTTGGAGCACAGGCACCAGCACAGATTGGTCCTAGTAGGCACTCCTGCCCTCACTTGTGGGCATCCTGCCCCCGGTTGGCAGGTTGCGATCTGGAAGTACTGGGAGGTACTTGCCAGAAGAGACCTGGAGATGAGCGGCTAATAAATGTCTCTGTTTGGGCTCCGGCAGGTGACATCCCGGAACCGAGATAATGACCCCAATGACTACGTGGACCAGGACGGTAAGGGGCTGGCGTGAGTGTGCAGATGGCTACCCGACCTGTTGGTTGGCAGAGACCAGACCACCTCGTGCTGCCTGGTCACCTCAGCTGGCCTTTGCTCTGTTTTTCCAGATGTGGGGGGACCTTGCCTCTGTGGCCCCCGCACCGACTCCCACCTCTCTCCACAGACATCCTCATCGTCAAGCTGCGAAAGGGCCAGGAGCTGAGACTCCGCGCCTACGCCAAGAAGGGCTTTGGCAAGGAACATGCCAAGTGGAACCCGACTGCAGGGGTGGCTTTTGAATATGACCCCGACAATGCCCTGAGGCACACGGTGTACCCCAAGCCAGAGGAGTGGTAGGTTCCCGCTGGGGATGAAGGCGGGCGGTTAGAGGGGGTGGAGTGGACATGGCTCCTAGTGACCCAGATGGGCAGACTCACTACGGGCACAGGTGCCCGGAAGCAGCAGTAACAACCGGGTGCTGACCTGTGTTTGACCTCAGGCCAAAGAGCGAGTACTCAGAGCTGGATGAAGATGAGTCCCAGGCTCCGTATGACCCCAACGGCAAGCCGGAGAGGTAAGCGCCTGGGCCAGCACGACGGTGAGATGTGTAGGAACGTAGTTTGGTGCAGGCCCTGAGCTCAGTGGCCCTTTCCCTCATGTCCCGGCTTCCAGAAAGCTGAGGAGGGGCTGAAGACTGCTGAACCCAAGATGGGTGCGTCCCCCTGTAGTCACCGAAAAAGAGGGGCCTCCGGTTATGCAAGCGCTTCCTGTTCTGGTTTGCAGCATCCAAAGATGGGGTCAGATCAGGGCCAGAAACTGACCAGCCTTCTAGGGAGGAACAGACGCTGGCCCGTGCAACCCGCTCGTTCACTTTCCACTTTCTCCTCAGTGCGGGACACGTCCATACAGAGGCGTTTGGGGGGTTTCACAGGATCTTTGTGAGGGGACTGTAGCCTCTTTGAGGTCCTGTAAAAAGCACTGTTTGTAGGAGGATGGAGGTCAACCCTGGGGCAAGGTTGAGTTCCTGGTGGGAAAGGAGTTAAGCAAGACTCAGGAGGGAAAGGGATGGCCCTGGCCAAGCTCAGGCTCACCAGCCCCTTGGGCGGCTCTCACTGGACTCGCGCCTCTCAGGTTTTACTACAACGTGGAGTCCTGTGGCTCTCTGCGCCCTGAAACCATCGTCCTCTCAGCCCTCTCTGGGTTGAAGAAGAAGCTGAGTGATTTGCAGACCCAGCTGAGCCACGAGATCCAGAGTGACGTCCTCACCATAAATTAGCCGCAGCTCATCCGCCTGCGCGGAAAAGGATCCGAGCCGCTGTGTGCGGGTCTCCTGAGGCCCCCCCGCCCCCGAAATCCCCACGGCTGTACTCAACTTCTTGGCAAGCCGTCAGCACCAACTGGAGGTAGCAGAGGGGAAGGTGCCCTCCCGCCCCCGAAGTCCCCACAGCTGTACCTAACTTCTTGGCAAGCCGTCAGCACCAACTGGAGGTAGCAGAGGGGAAGGTGCCCTCCCGCCCCCGAACTCCCCACAGCTGTACCTAACTTCTTGGCAAGCCGTCAGCACCAACTGGAGGTAGCAGAGTGGAAGGTGCCCCTCCCCGCCTTGCTTGGTCCCAGGTAGATTACGGGGGTGCCCCTGGTATTTGAGGCAGGACAGTCCTTCACTGAGCATGCAGCATCCTGGCCCTGCCTGCTGATGGCTAGTCTCCCCAGGACCCAGACCTCCCTCCCCCTGGTCTGCTTGTAGAGGTTGTACTGCTTCCCTGTTGAAAACCACTGCGTTAGACCCTCCTCTTTTGGTCATTTCAGCTCTTGACTTACATTTCACAGTTGTACCTTAGGTTTCCGCTGTTAGGATTGAGTGTTCAAAGTCTCATTCAGGCCGCCTACAAACCCAGCCCCTCCCTGCCCATGGTCAGCCTACACTTCGCTCAAATTCCCAAGTGTCTTGAGACCCTGGCTGCTCCTCCCCACCCCACCCCACCCCACAATAAACCCTGTATTTCATTCTCTACCCATCAGTTATGACTTCACTGCCAATGATCTGCTTAATTAGTTTGGGGTGGGGAGGGAAGGGGAAGGGAGAGAGGGTGGGGTGGGAAAGGGCCTCAATGAAGGTCTGGCTTTGACCCCTTAGTCCTGTTGGGAGGAACATACCCAAAGCAGTTAATTAGGCAGCCTGGCGGGAGGCATGGGAGAAAACCGGAGATACAGTGCAGAAAGGAAGGGATATTTATTAACAGTAGAGTTTTTATTTTTGGCAATAAAGAGCACAACATAATCTCCCTCATGCGTCATCGTGCTGCTCGCTGAGCCAGCAGCCCCCCCTCCAAGGCCTCGGGCTCTCCTGCAGGCCTGTGCCTCTGGTGGTCGCTCCCTGCTCCGTTCAGAGCTGAGCTGGCTGTGGCCACCCCCTTGGCTCCAGGGCTCTGCTGGAGGGGCCTCCTGCCGCGACTTGAACAGTGGTTATTTACATCAGGGTAACAAGGTCTGTTCCCACAAAGCAGAACCCGAAGTATTTAAAAAAACAAAAAAAAACACAACACACATAACCGAAGGTTTGATGTGGATAGAAAGATAGCCCTTCTGCCCAGTAGTCAATAAATACCAGCACTAGAAAGTCAATTGCTTTAATTGCATCTCAGCAGGGAGCCTCAGCACCATGTGGGGAGGAAGTGGAAGGGCTGGTTTCTGAGTCCATTCTGGCCAGAGGGTGGTCAGACCAGAGAGGGGCCTCTCCTCTCTCCGCAGGGGCACTGCCGGCCCAGGTCAGTGAGAGGGGGCCGCAGGGCAGCTCCCCACTGCAGTCCTGCTGGCCCTCCCTCCTGGCCTGGCCGCCTCCCCCGGCTGAGGTCACCAGCACTCCTGCCCACAGGGATCTTCTCAGCCTACAAAGCAGGGAGGAGCCTGGGCAGAAATGTTCTTTTTCAAACCAGCTTTTCACCTGAGGTGTCAACCAGATGTCAGCAGGTGGCACCGCATGAGTTCGGATCCTTCCTGTGCCACTAGGCCCAGAGGAACTGAGAAGCCACTTGCTATCTTAGCCCTTGGCTCCTGGGAGAAGCCTGCCGACAGCACCGGCCTTGAGTTCTGATTGTCTGCCTCCGGCCCTGGCAGCTCAGGCGAGTCCTGGCAGCGGGAGGGCTGTGCCACAGAGGACATTCAGAACCAGCCTTGGTGGCCTGGTCATGGGATTCAAAACTGTATGTGGTGGCAGGGAGGGACGGGGAAATCTCGTTAATACAGGATATGTCATAAGCCGTATATATTAAAATCATGAACAGTAAATAGTCCCACGGTAGCTCCAGCCCCTCACACATGCTCAGGCAGCGTGGCCAGCCCTCTGCCTTGGTCCAGCCTCCCCGTGGGGGCAAGGAAGGGACAGCGGCTCCCTTTCTCCAGGCGCGTGGCCAATAGCCCCCTGAGGCTGTCCTCAGCACGCAGCGGGCAGCCCCGCAGTCATGGGTGCACGCCAGCCCGGCTGTCACTGGGCGGGGGTCCTGGCCTCGCTGCTGTCCCCCTGGCTGGGCTTTGGCTTTAGCAGGATGAATCTGTCAAGGAGGTCCGTTTCCGAGCTGGCTTGGGCTGCCCCATGCCCCTCACCTGTGGACACAGAGGCAGGCTCAGGACTCGGGTCCAGGTGGGAAGGTCCCTGCCCAGAAGGCCTCGTCTCCCACAGAGGCTCGCGGCAGGTGGCCAAGGGGCGCTGCAGGGACTCACCGCCATAGCTGGAGGCCTCAGCGATGTTCTGGGAGCCCGTGATGTGGTGCCAGTAGGCACTGCGGGGCAGCATGGTCGTGGGCGTGCAGGGGTAGGAGTAATGTTCCGTGCCCTTGTTCAGCAGCTGTGGGCCAGAAAAGGGGGTCCCTCGCATTAGCCCTGGGGGCAGTGGCTTGCCCTCAAGCAGCCAGCCCAAGACCCTGCCTGCCTCTCCTGTGGCTACGCTAAGAGGAGACCCCCTGGCACACTCCAGGTGCTTGGCCTGCCCGCCCACCAGCCTCCCCCTACCCTGGACCAAGACGCCCACTGCCTCACCCTCACATTCTTCTCCATTTCCAGCAGGACCCGCTTGTGCTGCTCGGCGATGGCCAGGGTGGCACTGTGGACCCGCTGGTAAATCTGTTCCCCTTCCTGCGTCTGGAAGGTGTAGAGCCCTTCCCCAGCGTCACACATCCTGGGGACACAGTGGCATGGAAGGCAAGGTGGTGGGAACCCCCTGGCACCCACACGTGCTTGGTTGGGCTCTCCAGTACCCCGGGCCCTCTGGGAAACAGGCAGGCTGTCACCCTGGGGTCTGACCCGTGGCTCGAACATTCCGAGCGGTTTCGACGCGCCCGGTGGTGGTCTAAATACTCTACAGGAATGAGCCCATTCATTTTCTCCCCTCTGCTCTGTACACCATTAGTTTCCTCATTTCTAGGGGTTTTCTCAAACCACTTTGCAGTGAGGAAACAGGCATACAGAGGGTAAGTAACTTCAAGGTTACACAGAGGATTTCACGGAATTCAAGCCTAGGCACGCTGGCTCCGAGTTCACGCTGTGAACCCATCCTCCACAATCCCATGGAGTTAGATACTTTCTTGTCCCCTAGGTGACAGACGAGGAAACAGGCTCAGGTCCACAACCCCGGGGCTGGTGTCAGTGCCAGCATTTGATTTGAGCCCAAAGAGTTTGATTTTGGTAAACTCGCACTTGACCTGCCGGCTGTGAGCCTCAATTAGTTCATCTGTAAAATGGGAATATTATGTTCCCTTTGGGGTTGTTACACCAATAAATAACTTCAGCTCCCAGCACAGTGCCTGACCCGGAGTGAATGGTGGCCACCGTCATGACCGTGGGGAGACAGGGTTGGGAGGCAAGAGGGTCCTACCGGCCAGCCTCGAAGGTAAAGCGTGTGGTGTCCCGGCCATAACGGCGCAGTGAGCAGAGGGGCCACGAGACGAGCTTCACGCGGGGGTTGTGTATGTCCCAGAGGTAGATGTTCTCATGGGTGATCTGCAGCTTGCACTCGCCATACACGTCCAGGTTGGGGCAGGGTAACAGGAAGACGTTGAAGCGATCTGGAGGGGAGAGGATGAATGGGCCGGAGCTTCCCGGGGAGGCCTCCTGTCCCCTCCTCCCCACCACCAGGCCTCACCTGTCTGTTCACACTGCACCCCTGGGGCCAGGAGGTCCGGCTCTCCCAGACTGATGTCGTTGAGCCGCGACCCCAGACACTCCACAGACAGGGTCTTGTACCACTCCTCCGCCTCCAGCTCTGGAGAAATGGTACCTTGTGAGCTGCAGGCTCAGGGTCCCTGTAGCCCACCCCATCTACTCGTGAGGCAGGGAGGCAAGGCCAGTGAATTTGGCCTGTCTCCCCCTCACCCTGGGGGCCTGCTCACTCAAAGGCACCCCAACCCTCATACCAGCCAGAGCTAGCCCTGCTCTGCCTTCTCCAACTGGTCCACTGAAGCACGGCCGGCCCCGTGGAGGCTGGAGCGAGGTCTGCAGCCCCAGCGCCTCACCTGAGTCGCAGGTGAAGGTACGGGCCGAGTCGTCGGTGAAGATGATGGCCACCGCCTGCCTCTTGGTCTCCTTGGGGAGCCGTGTGACGCACTTGACGTTACTGATCTCGGTCACCTGGAGCAGCATCCACAAAGGACTCAGGTTGGAGCCCCTCTCCCGCACCCCCACCGTTCTGCCACCCCCAGGCGGGTGCTCTTGGACCCACTGCTTACAGGTTAGGGGCGCTAGGGCCCAGGCCCCTCACCTTGGGGCAGCCTCGGAGGCACACGGACTTCTCATCCGGGTACTTCTCCAGCCGCTGGGGCCCCTTGCTGGAGGACTTCCGGAACACCAGCCAGCACCTACGGTAGATCTGAGGGGCAAGACGACAAGGACCAGGGCTCAGGCTTCCGTTCCCCTCAGCATGGCCCTGCAGTGACCCTGCCTGCCGCAGGGGGCAGTGCCGCCCAGCCGTCCGGGAGGCCCCAGCCCAGGAGAAAGCCTGGGACAGCTGACACCAGCAGGACAGTCATAGGGAGAGTGTGTCCTGTCCCCCCCTCATTGAAAGGCAGTTATTTCTTGGCTGCTCGGAAAGGCTGGTCCACAGGTGCACTCGGTTTACTGTGAGCTCAGCTCGCAGTGCAGTTGACCTTTGAACCACAGGTTTGTAGCACGGGGTCCACTTATACGTGGATTTTTTTTTTCTGATAAACATACAGCATATGTATCTGTGGTTGGGAATCTGGTGCAGAGGCCCGCCTGGAGGCACTGTCCTCGGCCATGGGATGTGAGGGCCTTGGGCATCCGTGGATTTCGGTACCTGCGGGGGCCCTGGAACCAGTCTCCCGCAGATACCGAGGGAGAGGAAGAGTCAGGAGACCGTCCTGTGACGTAAGGACCGACGTGTGTTTACGGAGCGCCTGTTATTGGCACGTTTTGGTGTTCGCACTCTACACAGCTATTCGGGGTCACTCTTGAGGCCGGTTCTATTATCTCCACTTTGTAGATAAGGAAACTGAGGCACCAAAAAGTAAAGTAACAGCTGATAAACGGTAGTCAGGCTGTAACAGGCTGTCCAGACGCAGGGCCAGAACTCGGAGCCCATGCACACCAAGCGCTGCCCGGGCTCCGGCAGCACCAGCCACAGCAGCGGTGCCCCCGGCGCAGGGACCAGCCGCTTCCACCGCCAGCCTGCACGTCACAGCCCTTGTTCTCGGTGCCGGGCAACACCCCCTCGACTCCAGGAGCTTCCACTCACACTCTTCATTCTCTAACCAGCCCTGGGTGGAGGGGGCAGGGACAGCTGCCTGTGCCAGCTGGGAAACCGGCGGCTCTCAAGGTAAAGGGACAGAGCCAGGAACCTGGGGTGACCCGGAGCACAGTGCCTGCCCCATCAAGGGTCCCTCCTTGTCCAAATACTGCCAGTGACCCTGTGCCCAGGGCCAAAGAGCCAGGGAGGAGCAGACCACTCTCCAGGGCTACAGGGCAACGTGAGGGGTGGCCCTCGCCACCTGCCCGGCTGCACCTCTTCCTTCCATGGCCCCTCCTTCCTGGCATGGGCTCTCTTACGGCCCAGGGTCTGGCTGGAATGCCCCTCCTCTTTCAGTGGGCACTCCAGCAGCCTGCGGACCCACTCCCCAGAAATCTCTGGTCTCTCACTGGCAAGCAGCAGGGAGGCTGAGGGGCAGAGCAGAGCAGAGTAGGTGAGGGGGCCTCCAGGCCATAGCCCCAAGCCCCGCCCCCTCCCCAGCCCTGCTCTGCCACACAGGCACCAGGCCTTTGGCGGGCAGAGTCCCAGGGTACAGGGGGCCTAGGCAGCCCCCATCCCATGGTCCTGGCTCAGCCCCTGGCCAATCTTCCTAAACCACAGCCGGCCTCCTGTGGACAAACACTGTTTTATTCTCAGTCCTCACGCACATCCTGGTAGCCTCGTTAACAGAGCTCTGAATGGCCATATGACGGGACCCTGAATGAATGGATGGATGGATGCATGACCCAGATATGCCCTGCCAGGTTGGGCTCCGTGCAGCCTGCAGCGTCAGGGGCAAAAGGCCTGGGGGGCCTGAGCACCCTGGTTGCCTGGTTACAGGGAGACACACACACACACACACACACACACACACACACACACAGCCCCAGGGAGCCACTGCGCTCAAGAGCCCTCCTTCCCCACTTCTCACAGGTCTTTGATCAGTACTTCAGAAAGACTGCACCGCTCAGCCTGGAGGAAGGCCCAGGCAGGGAGGGGGCGCCTGATCTCTTCCAGCCCCTCCCCCTCACCTCTGAGCTGAGACCATAATGGCTGTCCTGAGGGGTGACTGCAGTCCCTCATATCAGTCTGCATAGAGAAGCTCAAATCGCTGAGGGGGGAGACCCCAGATTGGGCCTCGCCATGTCCCAGCTCCCAACCCCCCTTCCCCTGGCTGTGCCCACCTTGGCGGGTCCCAGTCTACCAGCACAGGTCCGACACTAAACCCGTGGCTGCCTGCCCAGTGGCCTGTCCTCCACGTGGGCTTTATCCTGACGGCGCCCCAGCCCAGCTAGTGCCTGGGACCTGCTAGGTCTGGGCCCACAGGGAGGAGGAGCCACACGAGAAACTGGGCCCCTACCCACTCGGCCTTCCCACCTCAGCCTCAGTCTCTCTCTGCGTTCTGTGCTCCAAGTGGGCGCCAGCCCTCTCTCAGGGCAGAGGCAGTGGCTGAGAGCCACGGAGCCCAGGCTCCTGGGCTGGGGCCCAGGATGGGACACAAACCCGAATCCCAATAAGGCTGCAAACGCCCACCAGCTCAGCTGCTGAACAGACAGACATACCCCCACGGGCCCTCAGGCAGGAGGGGGATCCCCTCTCCGAGGCCAGCGCTGCTCAGTCCAGGACCCAGGCAGGGGAGCTGGTTTGAAGCCCTGCTCCTCCCCCACCCCACTCAGGCCGGGCCAGGAAGCTGGAGCAGTCTGATCCCACCCCCACCCCATCAAGGCCATGGGCGAGGGAAGAAGGGAGGGACCAGAGGCCCAGGTAAAACACTAGACTTGGGCCACCTGTCACCAGGGTTTCCATCCTACTGGGAAGGGCAGCTGCCAGACCCCTCACTGGGGGGTGGGCGTGGGGTCTCAGAGGAAGAGGGGCAATTCCTGGACAGCCCCACCACGATCATGAAGTTGGTCCCTGCGGTCCCTGCCCATGCCCTCTGAGGGTCTCCGCGGCAGGGCGCGGGAGAGGGCGCACACCCAGGGGCCCGGGGCTTCATCTCCACGGGCCCTCCAAGCCCCAGCTCGGGGCCAAACACCGAGCACAGACGAGCAACTCGGAGCCACGGGCCCCAAGTTCTCATTCACAAACCACAGAAACATCAGCCTCCGCACCCCTCACACCAACGCGCACCCCCACAACCAGCCCCCGTCCTTTCCAAACACTTCTTTCACGGTGAGAGCAACAACCAAAGACCCGTAAATAAATACCCACACACAGACAGCAATGGGAAGCAGCGGCCAGGAGGTACTTAAAAGAAAAGAGGCCAGGAGAGGGGCGGGGAGAGGCAGGGAGGCGGCCGGGAGGAAAGGAGAGGAGACGGGAAGCTGGTCTCAGCGCACGCAGCCCGGCATTTCCAGCGCTCCCGGCCCCGGCCGCTGCCCTGGCGACAACTTCAACAATAGCCAGGAGCTGCCGGCACATCACATCGGCCCATCGGCTGCCACCACTGGCCCAGCCGCTGGGATGCCAGCCATCCTGCTGGGGCGGGGGCTGCAGCAGGCAGGGCAGGGCCCAGGCACCCATGCCAGGCAGCCCACTGGCCAGAAGCCTGGAGGCAAATGCACGATGCTGGGCTGTGGACCCCCAACCCGCCAGGCTCCAGAGCAAGTCCTCCGCACCCCGCCGGCGCCCGTCCCTCGGCAGGGCCCTAGGAGGGGGGCTCACCCCGAGCTTCCTGCTCTTCATCTTCACGTAGCCTTGCTTGACGATGTCGTTGAAATTGGTCGCCATGGTTTCCCCACCTTCTCTGGGGGGCAGGGCCTGGCCGAGGAGAGGGGAGGGATGCCCGCCCAGGTGGCCTCGGTTTCCGGCTCCTCCGATCACCTGTTCGAGACACTCCTTCGACGCTTCCTCGCGGAGGCAGAGCCGGCCGCTCCTCACCTCGCCCGCCTCAGCATTGTTCCAGCGGCTCCTGCGCCCGGCGCCTGCTGGAAACGAAAATGACAGGGAGCTCAGGCAGTGACATCTTTCTCTTCCCTGGCTGTCTCGCTCTTTTTTCCTTCCTCTTCCCACACTCCTCCCTCCCTTCCTCCCCCCCCCCCTTCACCCGCCCTTCTTCCTTCCCTTCCCTCCCCACCCCTGGACGACAGAACCATTCAGGAAAACCGAGGTGGAGGCGGCAGCGAGGAAAATGGTCCAGCCCAGTCCCCTCCCTCAAGGCTGGGGCTAGCAGTTAACCCCTTCCTGGCAGGACCGTGCTGGGTCCGCACTGGAGGCGGGGCGGAGGAGGAGGTGGCCCCGCACTGCTGTCCCACCCAATCTCCTGTTACAACTTTGGGGCAGACGCGGAGGGCAACTTGCCCCCTTCGTGCGCGGGAGGCCCACAGGCACCTTTCCAGAGATGGGGGTGGGGGTTCCCCAGAAGACGGCACAGAGTCTGGGGTCTGAGTGAACCCCACGTTCCCTGAGGTTAAGAACAATTTGCCTGGCCGGTCTCAGCAGACCCCACCTCCCCATCCCACTGCCCTGGCCCTCCTATACCTGGTTCTCTCCAGCCCCAGGCAGGAAGCTGAGAATGGGCACCTCCAGCCCACTGGGCCCTGCCCCAGCCCTTGGAACTCTTCAGCAGCTCCTCTGGGTGTTGCTCCCTGGGTGGGAGGGCAGAGTCCAGCGGGCGGGCCCCCAGATAAGCCTGAGGAATGTGCTGGGCCTGCTGGAGGTGGCCATTGTAGAGCTGCTGCCTTGCCCTGGCCGTGCTGCTGGGAAGCTCGGGTCTGGCCGGGCCATGCAGTGCCCCAGGAGCACCGGCAGAACTAGCCGTCACTTGGGCCTGGGGCAGAGGACACCGCCAGATGACAGTGAGGGGCGCCCAGGGGAAGTCGATACAGGGCGGGCAATGGGAGTGCCAGCAGGGGCCACTCCGAATCAGATAATGAACAGATAACGAAGTCTCAGACTCAGACATGGTGTGGGGGTGTCCTCAGGGATGACCCAGTTCAACACCCATTTTACAGACGGGAAAATAAAGTTGCTCAGAGAGGCTAAGCGGCATGGCTACAGTCACCCAGCAAGCCTGGGGCACAGCCAGGGACAAATGAGAAGTTTCGGGGTGGGTGATGGGGCCAGGCCCAGGGTGGAATGTCCTGCGACCACCTCTGGCTGCTCGCCACGACCTCAGCCCTTCCTGCCGTCCAGACTCAGTGCCAAGGCTTTGCCAGCCACATGGCCCCCCATGTTTCCAGGACCGCTGGTGGGAAGGAGAAGCATTTCTGGAGTCAGCGGGGCATCTGTGCTGCCAGGACAGAGCCTGGGGCAGGCATGCTGCTGGATGTGCCAGCAGCTTGGCATTAATTAATCTCCTGGAAGCCTGTCTGTTAAGTCCCTAACAAGGGAACAGATGGGACGGCCCCCCTGGGCACACGCAAACAAGGCTGGCAACGAGGGTGACGCTCCCCGATCTTACCCTCTTACCCGCACACTGGCAGCCTCCTCAGCCCCACCTCAGCGCCTCCCTGCCAGTTCACTCCCTCTCTCCCGGCCCCCTGGATCCAAGACCCTCCCAAGTGGGAGGCCCAAGTGGTCTGCTTCATCCTGTAAAGTCTGGTCTGGGGCCCGCTCCCTGGCACTGGCCCCCATCAGCCCTGCCTCACCCGGGCTCTGTCAGTCAGAGATGGGTCTCCATGGCCTGCCCGGGGGCTACCTTGCCCGCCGCCCCCCCCCCCCCCCCCCCCCAGCAAGGACCAGCTCCACAGAGTCCCCTCCAAGACGACAGCAGGCTGGCCCCGGCTGTGGGGCCACAGCATGGAAGGCCCCTTCCAGAGCACACGACAAGGGAACACCAGCCCCGGGGTTCCCTCACAGCAGCCCGCAGGGGGGCACAGCCAGGAGCCTGAATCCAGCTGGATGGGTAGCTTGGGCAAGCCACGTCACATCTCTGTGCCTCAGTTTCCCCGTTAGTAAAAAAACAACAAGGATATACCACCTACTTTTTTTGTTGTTAATCCTCACATGAGGATATTTTTCCATTGATTTTTAGAGAGAGTGGAAGGGAGACAGAGAGAGAAACATCGATGTGAGAGAGACACACCAATTGGTTGCCTCCCGCACGCACTCCGGGCTGGGATCAAGCCTGCAACTGAGGTACATGCCCTTGACCGGAATTGAACCCGGGACCCTTCAATCTGAGGGCCGATGCTCTATCCACTCTGCCGAACCAGCCAGGGCAAACCCACCTGCTTTAAATGAGAAAATAAATCCACCAGGCTCCTGCCCGCCCACTTTGGAACCAGAGCTTCTGCCTCGGAAATCGGGGCCGTTTTCATTTCAAGAGCTGCCGCCCAGCCAAAGGCTGCGGAACCACCATCACCACCCATCACCCACCTGCCCAGGGCGGGCCTCTCCTTCCTGGCGCCACCAGCTACCTTCCCAGCGGCATCCGCTCAGTGACTGGGTTGCCACGCTCTCAGGAGCACCCCTGCCGTGTCTGTCCATAGGCCCACACCTGACCCTAGAACCAGACCCACAGAAATACCAGCAGACGAGCAACCTTCCATGGGAAGCCTGGGTGGCAAAGGGCAAGGGCAAGTACAGCAAAGGGGATTGGGGAGGGAGGGAGGGGGGAGAGCCAACAGACGGACCACAGATTTGACAGGCGATGGGATCAGGTGGGGCAGTGGGGGGCCTGGAAGCAGCCGGGCCCCAGAGGGAATGCATGGTTTAAGCTGGAGAAATGGCCCCAGGTGAGCTGTGCAGGCCAGGAACTGCCGTCTGGGGCCACTTCCCCTTGTCTCCTGAGCCCCCACCGGCTCGGCCTCTCACCAGCCTGCAGCAGAGAAGGTCTGTTCTGAGCACCCAGAGAGGCTAGGCAGGGTGACCAGCAGCCCCCTCACCACTGCAGGGGGAACAAGGGCCCCCATGTCCCGTCCCAGCTGAGACAGCACCAACCCTGCCCCCCTTCACAGAGAGCAGGGCTGAGCCGGCCCTCTCCCCAGGAAAGGGCAGGTGTCCTGTGGGAGGGGGCAGGGGGACTCTGTGGTGCCCAGCAGAGGGAGGGCCGGGGCTCCCCTGCCCAGCTGCCCCATGGGGCAGCTTCCCTAAGCACCCCCTCTGAGCACCTGGATTCTGCCCGGAGGCTTTGGCTCCAGAACAAACGCTACGCCTGCTGTTGGCAACCAATGACAGAGCAGCGGTGCTGCCTGCCTGGCTGGGCCTCCCACCCGTGAGAGATGGGATCTTATCAGGGCTTGAGGACATCCCTACCTGGACACCTGGCTCCCGGTTGTCTCACTCTCTCCACCCCGCCACAGAGACCCCGTGGGCAGGATTCTCACCAGCACCAGGTCTGGCCCTCTCTCCCAGAGTGTGATTTATATCGGATCCAGGAGGGGTCCCCCTTCTGCCTCCCTCCGCCCCCTCCCCTCCCCCTGCAAATTCCCACAAGGAACCAACATCTAAAACACTGCAGGCCTCATCCAAAGGTGGGTGACAAAGAGATCGAACACCCAGATGGGCAGAGGAACCATGGGACGGGGGACATCTGAACAGTCCTGTCTCCTGGCCCTTAAGTTAGAAAAGTGATGTTGTTTCCACACCAGCCGGACGCTCTGCTCTCCCCTGGTCCCCGCCCACCCCACCCTTGTCTCCCCCTGCGCTGGCCTTTCTTCTTCTTTTTAATTTTTATTGATTTCAGAGAGGAAGAGAGAGGAGAAAGGAAGGGAGAGGGAGAGATAGAAACATCAACGATGAGAGAGGATCACTGATCGCTGCCTCCTGCATGCCCCCGTACTGGGGATGGAGCCTGCAACCCCGCATGTGCCCTTGACCGGAATCGAACCTGGGACCCTTCAGTTCGCAGGCCGATGCTCTATCCACTGAACCAAACCGGGCAGGGCCCTGGCCTTTTTTCTTTCTCAACCTGCCTAACTCCTGCCCACACAGAACACTGCTGCTGTTCCCTGCCTACAACACTGTTCCCTCAGATGATCCCAAGTTCATTCTGCCACTTCATTCAGGTCTCAACTCAAAGGTCGCCCCTTCGAGAGGCCTTCCCTGACCACCCTGGCCACAGGAGCCCCGCCAGTCAGCCTCTGTCACAACATCCGGTTTCACTGCCCACACTACGCGCATCATGGAAGGATTTTCTTGTTCCTTCAACAGCTCATTGGCTCCTCGACGGCTCAGGCTCCTAGACCGCCCTCGAATGTCTGCTCCCTGAGGCCTTGTTCTGTCTGGTGAACAGCTCCATCCCAGCACCTAGCTAGGATGGTGCCTAGTGTGGAGTGGGAGCTGGATATCTGGGAACCGAAAGCAGGCTTCTCTCCAGGACTTGTCGCCTGCTCGTCCTGTCGCCCGCTACCCCCTGGCCGGATCCGCTCACCGTCCACAGGTGTAACTTCCAGGGTGTGAGGGGCCCCACCTCCCTGGACCCCAGGGCTTCCCCAGTGCCCATGGTCATGGCCAGCAAACTGTTGCTGCTGGGGAAGCAGCAGGGCACCAGACCCACAGCTGGTTCAACGCTGCCTGGGGGAGGAAACGCTGCTGACACTGGCCAGGCCTGGCTGGGAGCCTCTCCCCACCCCTCCAGCAGGGTGGCTGGGTGAGGTCATGACCAGCCCTGCTGTCCTGCCTGCCGGGAGGGAAGGGCTGGAAGTAGCCAGCTTCCACGCACAGAGAGGCAAGCGGCTGGCCAGGAGGGGGCACAGCTCTGGGACCCACCCCTGGTGGGGGGACAGGAATGGCTGCATGGAGGCCCTGCTCTGCTCACATCACCCAGGTGCCCAGACTCCACCCCTGTCCCTCTGCAGTGACAGAAAGCACTGGACTGGAAGCAGGGCCTTGGCGGTCCTGGGGGAGGTGGACAGGAACCCCTAGGGCCAGGGGAGAAAGGTTCAAGGACAGCAGACAGCTGGCCAAGAGGTTAAGTTGTAGGTGGGCAGTGGGGACAGGTGAAGGTGGGCAGTGGGGGCGGGGGCAGCGGAGGTGGGGGTGGTCAGTGTGGGGGCAGGGGAGGTAGAGAAAAGTATCCTGGGATTTGGGGGAGCTGAGAGAGCAGGAAAGTGGGGTGCAGAAAGTGGGGGCTGCCTGGCCTGGGTTATGCCCCTGGGGGGACAGCAGACCTGAGGGCAGGGAGCAGAGGGTCTGGGCTACTCGGATGGGTGTATGTGGGGTAGGGGTGAGATCAGGACGAACCCGGGCCCTCTGCAGAGGGGGAGCTCAGGGTAAGTTTCTAGGGCCTGGGTTGACTTTGGGGGAGCAGGTCCCAGAGCTCCCCGCCCTCTGCCTCCGAATAGGAAGGGCTCCTGGGCCCCCCCTCCCCGCCTCGCGCCCCTAGTTACCTGGGAGCCGCGGCCCGGGCCGGGGGCGCTTGCAGGGCGTCACGGCGGGGCCGGCGGTGGCGGCGGGGCGGCGGCGCCGGGCTCCGGGCGGAGACGGCAAGGAGGCGCGGCCGCCCGGCTGGGCTCCGGCGGGGACTAGGGTGCGCTCCCCCTGCGCCCCGCCCCGCCCCTACCCAGCGCCGGCCCTGCCCACGCCCCGCCCACGCCCCGGGGCCGGCCCCGCCCCGCCCCGCCCCCGCCGTATTCCTCTGAGCCGCAGGGCACTCGCCGCCGACCTCCCTCCACCCCCTCCCCGCGCGCCTCCGCGACCCACACGTCGCCCTCGGTGCCGGGCTCAGCCCA